GTGATATTTTTGCGTAATATTACCTCTTATGCATGTGTTTTGCATATGACAGTGGCTGAGACGCAAAAAATCCTCGACAGAATATATGAAAGACTCCCCGTTTGTGGCAGACGCTTCCAGTTTTCTGCACTCATACCTGATGACCGTAATCAGATCATGTCTGCTTTTATACCAGTCACAACTGTCACGTGTCTTTACCTCTACTCGCGTTTCCAGCAGGACTAGATTCCAGACCGTGAGCTCTGTGTGCTGTCTTCCTGTTAGACATCAAACCTGTGTGACTGCTGGATGTAGGAATGTGCATGGAAAACAGACATGGAACCAGAAGCAATGAATCATGAGTACTTCTGGATTTGAACGCTTATTGCACTTGCTGAATTAAACATATTTGCATCAAGTAATTTACTATTTGAAATTGTTGCACTCATTTTTTTGTTGTTGCACTACTTGTTTTATAGTATACTATACAATATGCCGTAAACTGTGCAGTACTGGTAGCATGTCTGTTTCTCAGCTCTTTAATGTTTTATTTTGGTGCTGTGGTATCTGCTGTCTGCTCTGTAGATGTGTGACGTGTTCTGCTCTGTTTCCTGTAGATGTCTCAGTCAAACGGACTGCCAAAGCATCCTATCCTAGGGTGAGTATTAAAGGGTCATGTTTGTTGTCTGTCCTCAATGCTTGTGATGTGACTGATCAACTACTGAATTGGAATCTAATTAGTTAGAAGTTACAGTTTTTAACGCAAGGCGCTGTGCAGACCGATACGTTGATGTCACACACCAGTCGGTCTGCACATCGCCACTTTAAGTCGAATGGTGATCAACATGATCGTGACGTAGCCTATAGAATGCCGTTATATGCGCCTAAAATTCAGCTTTTGTCTCATATTTATATCATATGATACAGTTAAGCAATATCACACGCGTGCTGTTTTTGTCCCGAATAGCACAAGTGCAAATGTGACGATTTTATACAACAGTTCGATGAATAAGAACTGTTATATTTTCAGTTTTGCCAATGCAAATATTACCTGTTAAAGCCACAGCAGAACTGTTGAGCGTCTCCAAGCAGCACACAATTCCTGAATGAATCTGCGTTTTGAACGAATAGTATGATTCAATGGCCCATTCATAAAGAGAAGCATTGATTTCATTCTGTTTGAAGAATCGAATGAATGAATGACTCGCTCATTAAGACATTTACCCTCATCTACTGGCTGTTTTAGTTTCTTATGTAGAGTATCATTGCATTAAAAATTATTTCATATTTACATATGAATAAAAAACTAATTGAAGGGATAGTTCACCCAAAAATTAAAATATTCTTTCTAAAGCTACTTATCTATGTCATGCATTTCTCATGCAACCCAATAATGACTGTAAATGATCTTTTGTAGGTAATTTCTCAGCCAAATTTGATGTGCAATTAATATGTGATTAATTGCCACATCATGTAAAAATTGTAATCTATTGACGGCCCTAATTGTAACGCATACAACCACTCAGAACACCCTAGCAGCATACTGCATTGTTAGACAGAAGTTTTGCACAGGCAAGCACCATTCACAGTTCCTGAAAAACGTGTACAAATCTAGATGTTACAATTCTTTTAATCCGGTCTGAAATGCTGCGTGTAAGCGGTCTCTGTATATGAGCAGCTGGAGCAACAGTATGTTGTGTCTGTAGGGGAGGGAATCCATTCGCTACGGTCAAACTTCGGCCCACAGTCACCAATGACAGATCAGCCCCCGTCATCTGATCAACACCAGAGACCCGCCGCCGAGGATGCTGGGCTTATTCACACACACACATACTGTTCAACCACTATTTATGTCAGTCCCCTTTAAACCTCCATCTCTCTCTATGCATATATATATATAATGGGTGTATGTATAGAGGGAATTAATATATATGCATTTAGTTGTAAGAACCAGTAACCAGATGCTTAACTTTCAAAGTATCATTCTGTAAATACATGAGAAGATGGGTGTGATTAAGAGGGGTTTTTTTAATCATTGTGAAGATATTTTGTAACATGTACGCTAGATGGGAACCTGCGTTAGCAGAGAAGTCCTGATGATAGTGATGAAACACCGATGAAAAATTATACTTACTGTAGATGCTGTCTGAACTGGCCACTAGTCCTTAACACACTTGACCTGGTTGCTAGTGGAACGAGCTGAGTGTGACGTTCATGGATTGGAAAGCAGAGCCATGAACATGTACAGTACGCATGTTTTCCAGAGTTAGCGGGCTAACTCACTCAGCTGGCCTTTAGTCGGCCAAGTCGAGCTCCAGTTTGACCCGGAGACGTCCAGTGTGCAGGCAACACCGTCATCTACAGAAGAGCTTTTAGCTGCTTATCAATGCTTTTAGAACAAGGGAGCTTTGCTTTTATCAGCGTAGTCTCAACACTGAATAATCAGTCAGTGGATAGTGATTTATCTTCTGCTTGGGGGAAACTATTCACTTGGCTTTGATTGTATCAATGCACTTTTCTGTTGATGTTGGCCTGAGATCTTGTAGATCACTGCTGTATGACAATAAAATATTTTGTTTCTAAATGTGTGCTTCTGTTCAAATGTTAGAGGTATGTTGCCACTCCAGAAGAAAGAATGAATGAGTATGAATCATTTAAAGTCTCTAAGAAATGCTTAAATGCTTCGTTTTTCCAGTGGTTCCTGGACGGGTCCTCCAGTTAACTCAAAAATGAAAATGTACTCACTATCCAAGATGTAGAGGAGTTTGTTTCTTCATCAGATTTGGGGAAATGTAGCATTGCATCAGTGTCTCAGCAATGGATGCTCTGCAGTGAATGGGTGCCGTCAGAATGAGAGTCCAAACAGCGGATACAAGTAATCCACACCACTCCAGTCCATCAGTTAATGTCTTGTGAAGTGAAAAGCTGAAACAAATCCATCAAGACGTTTTTAACTTCAAACTTTTCTTCTAGCTAAAATTCAAATCCTCTATCCATAATATTGCTTTCTCCTGGCACCCATTCACTGCTACATTTCTCCAAATCTGTTCTGATGGATGAACAAACTCATCTACATCTTGGATGGACGGAGGATGACTAAATTGTCATTTTTGTTTGAACTGTTCCTTTAAGTCAGACGTTGATGTGCAGTGCTGTGGAGGCTCCAGGAACGCTTTTGAAAAGCCTTGTTGTAGACTAACACTAGATAACCCTCAAACTCTGACATGTATACAATTTATATATTTTTTTAATGAAGTATTGTTTGAGGTGATTTTAGAATTTAGCAAAAAAAGACTACCAAAAAACCTGCATAAGTAAATTTCACCAGATATAATTTATACAAGTATATATATGCATGAAAATGCATACATGTAGAATTGTGATTTTAACTTTTTTTTTTTTAATTTGTGATGTAAAAAATTTTTATAGATAAGGTCAGCGATGAAGAAGTTCAAAATGTTGTTCTATGCACCGACATTTCTAGGACGTCCAATATAATCAACAAACACAAACAGCAACACTTGTAGAATTTATTTACAATCTTTCTTAATGTAGAAAAGTTCTAACCGATCATAATAGCGTGTCTAGTGTAAGGTACGAGTACATCATGACTGAAATCACACTGAGACTGATTGTCAATCACTGGAAGAAAACGATAAGAGAAACAGCGTAACTACGTGTCTTTGGGTGACGTGTCACATTGTCTAGATGCCAGCTTCCCTTGTTTATTGCAGGTTTCAGTTCAACCTGGATATGGCCGAGGTCCATATTTACCCTCTAAGACGCTTTCAGAAAACTCAGCACATATAACACAGATCATCAGTGCAGTGATGAAAACACGGCCCCCAAAATAACAGACTATCGACAAAGAACGTGGTCTGAACTTGATTCAGAAATCCCAAGATATACAAATTTTAAATCAAGCACACACAAAAATGAACAGAGACAATGCTTTTTGATCTTGACTAAGATGTGACTGATTAGGGAGCATATTATAGTGAACAAAAACAAAATGAACGACAGTGATGCTCATTTTCACGTTTCATTTACACACACAATGTTACTGGAAGTGAGTGGTGTGGGATTTACCCTCAGTGAGTCCCGGCTCATTTAGTTTATGCTTTCTCTGCCATCATAAAGGCACTAGTGATTGGCTTTAAGATTTGATATAAAGAACAACAAAATCAGCAAATAGCGCTTGCGAGGCATGTAAAAACATGGACAGCCGTCACATGCACCATCTTATATTAATCAAAGAGTTTGTGTCTGGTTACTAACTTAACGTTACATAAGCGACATTTGGCATTATCATGTGCAGTGATTACAGAGGAACTATGCTGATGCTTAAAACTGAATTAAAAAGACGACGGCAGGCTTTTGGTCCCTCTAGCCGAATGTGGCTCCACAGTTTGGACATCTCCTCTGACGCAGGGCCAGGCAGAAGAGAATTCCCAGAGGAAAGAAGAATATGGCACACAAGATTCCCAGACAGGTGAAATCATCCTCCAGCACGCCGACCCTGGACACAGAACAGCACCACGCTCAGATCCCATTATTCTGAAATATTATTACAATTTAAAACACTGTTTTCGGTTTAAATATATAGTGAGTTGTAATTTATTCCTGTGATGCAAAGCTGAATTTTCAGCATCAGTACTCCAGTCTTCAGTGTCGCATCTTTCAGAAATCATTCTGATATTTATATACCAATTGCAATATTTCACAATATTGATTAAATAAATGCATCCTTGGGGAACATTAGAGACTTATATGTGACCCTGGAGCACAAAACCAGTCATAGGGGTCAATTTTTCCATTGATGTATGGTTTGTTAGGATAGAACAATATTTGGCCGAGATACAATTATTTGAAAATCTGGAATCTGAGGGTGCAAAAAGATTGTGCTGCAGGCTCACATATTAAAAATCACAAATTATTCCAAATGTTTGAGCGGTACTGTATGACTAGTTATTTAATGAAATGATTAAAACCCTCTTTGTGTTTCCCCCTGGTATGACTTAAGTAGCATTTGATTGATTCTGAACTTTATTAGCTCCAGAAAAGCATCAATGTGTATTTACTTCACTAGTAAAAATGCTTATCAAATAAAAGATTCGTCCCACATATAGGATGCTTCGTCTAATCTAGCCCGTCCTAAAATGTGTTGGAAGAGAGTCCTCTTGGGTTGTTAAACCCCATCAGCACAAGCTGAAACGGTAAGAGCTAAAAATACGCCAAAACCAAAGTGATTTTCACTCTGCTGCAACCATTTCTCTTCCAAATAAACCTGAAAATAGCATCGGTCTGTGGTTCTGCTTTCTTATCATTATCAAGTCGACAGGGATAGTTCACCCCAAAAAAATTAAGCCTGTCTTCATTCCAAAGACTTTTGATTCGTCTTCAAAACACGAAGCTATTTTTAAAACGGTCTCAATTTTTGTTCACTTATTAAAAGCCCATGCGACCAAAACTTTCAAACTATAAAGATATCATAAAAGTCATTCACGTAAATCTAATGGTTTAATGCGTTTCGAGGGGGGTCCCCCATTAAAAATTGCGTTGGGGGGGGATAAAATAAAAGTTTTTTGGCACGGTTCCCCTGGTAAAATTCACATTTTAGGGGCTAAATATCATGTTATCGGGGTCGCTTCAACCCGCGGACATGAAAAACAACCCGCAGCAACAGTGTTCAAGTAGCACAATTCCGCGGGAAAACCGCAGACTTGGCAACACTGGTGATATTTGATTGATTCTTTGATTTTACGGCTAGAGAATTTCACGGATACGGTACAAAATAGTTAGGTTTAAAACTATTATAAATTATATTGATTAGATGTCATTTTCAAAATGTTCTACGCGTATTACAAGAGCTTGTCACCCAGTGATAAGCACTGTTATTCAACGAAATTGGCGTTAGAGCGTGCGATAGTCTTACAGATCCGAAACAGGGGTGACGGTTTTTGTGGGCGGAGCCTGTCTGGAGGCAGAAAATGAGGGTTTTCAAGCGGCAGTCTATGGAGCCCTGGAATAAAAGAATTTAAAAAAGATACATTTGATTTTAAATTTCAAAATTCTGACTTTATTCTCGCAATTCCGAGATTATATCTCACAATTCTAATAAGGAAAAACAACTCGTCATTCTCTATCTTCCCCTCGGCTCTTCTGGCTTTTTCCCTCAGATTTGACAAACTCACTATTTTTGAGTTAAGTCGAGTTATAAAGTCTGAATTAGGAGATATAAACTTGCATTTGTGAGAAAAAAAGTCAGAATTGTGAGATAAAGTAAATAAATGTTATGTAAAAATGTTAATAGTAAGGTTTAAATAATATTTCATGCTGTAACTGTAGGGCTAATACAATACGTCCCCTATGAACAGCATATGTGAATATTATGTAGACCTATTGATTAAATTGAATTTATGCTTTAAAAGTAGAGTAATCATAACAGTTTTCATCCATAGTATGTCCATTTAAACCTCTGCGTTTAGCTTCAAATGACGACAGTATTCTATAAAAATTATTTGCAGTCCGATCTTGACATCAAAAGGCACAAAAATATATTTTTCTCTTATTCCATGGATTTGACCCATTTACCTCCACTTGTTCCCAGTGTTGTTCTGCAACCACTGTGCGCGCGCAGCTGCAAGTGACGTAACTGACGTCTACTCTGAATTGGTCTATATCTATGGTATGTATGATATCGTACAGCATTGATTTAGAAGTTGGAAGGGAACCACAATCACAGTGTTTGTTTGGTGGTCATGCGCACTAAACTGGACTGATCTGGTGCATGAACCAAAGTTCAGAGTGAAATCAGCGTGTCAGGAGGGACTCGCGATGTGGCAAGACTCGCATCAGGAAATGATTCTGACATAAGTTGCATGAGTTAGCAGTAAATATGCAGTCACGAGGGAACAGGGCGGACACAGAAACCACGGAATTCCGTAGAACAGCATCCGGTTTATTCCCGTTCTTTCCTTCACGGAGTAACATTCCATAAAGTTCTGAAGTTGATAGCGAGTGGGATGACTGTTCGCCTCACCTGCAGGCCGGACATCCTCCCACCACCACCACAGAGGGCTGGACGATGGTGTAGCTGCTGGTGTAGGCCGGCTGGCTGGCTACGGCGGCAGGCGGTGCTGGGGCCGCTGGATAACCTGACGTGGCAGCTGGGAAACCTGCGGGACAGAGTTCACCTCCATTTAACACTCCACATTACCCACGTTATCAGCTCAGATGCTGCGACTCCCTGTGATGAGCAGAAGTCATGTTTCATGAGCTATCAGAGCGGAAACTATAGCCGAGGAGACAGTCCCTTGTGAAAAAGAAGCGCACTTAATAGTATCGAATATGCACTTGTAGTGTACTTCAATTCTTAAACGTATATTTTTTTAAACTGTGCTTGCCGATCACACTGATGAAATACAAGGCCACTTAAGTGTACTTCTAGAGAGACACTTTTATGTCTATTTTTCTTCAACTTTTTTGGAAAAGTGCACTTTGTTTTTTTGTTTTTTTAAGTACATTTCACGTGGATCCAGTTACAGAAGTGCACTTATTTTGAGCACATATTAAATGCTAGAATACATTTTCATTTAATTGTAAATAACATGCTGAAGTATCCTGGAGTGCACTTCTTTTTTCACAAGGATATAAACCGCTGAGACAATCTGTCAGTGATTGGTTAATGACTAACTGGCCCAACCACATTGTGTACAGTACGTGACTGCTTTCAGTGCATATGGTCTATTATAAAACTACATATAAAAACAAGCGGCAGCTACTGAATGATTACCTTCTTCATATAAAAACATCCCATTCTTTTAGAATCAAACACGAACAGATTCGTATGAGTTGCTTCTTTTAAATGAGCCTGTCGCATAAGCTGCTTAGACTAGTTTTACAAGTTAGCCACATGATTTATTTTTATTGTATTTTACTCTTAAGGACTGCTCATAACTAAGTCAGCTGTATAAACCGTAGAACGGTACAGTCCTCTTACTGAATCAGCTCTTTTTAGTGAATCACAAACCAGACGGATTCATGATTTATGATTTATGAATGAATCAGACTGATTAATCTGATTTACGCACTGCGATTTATTACTCTGTTAAAATATTAACTGTAAGTTATTAATTTGACCATGTCTGATAATTATTATTATTGTTGTTGTTTTTTGTAATATCCCGAAATTAGTCAAATTAGTAAACACCAGATACATTTCCCTTTTTATGGCATGGCAAGGTTAGTTCAGGTTTTAAAGGTCAACTTCATGAAGTGTCAATTGACTGCTTTAACCAAATGTTTCTTCCTCAAACGTGTTATGGGAATAATTACAGGAAGCTGAATCTGAACCAGTATCATTATTACACTGATATTAATAACATCACACACACACTCACACACTCTCTCTCTCTCACACACACACACACACACACACACTCTCTCTCTCTCACACTCACACAC